AATACTAATCTTGTACACAATAATTGTTAAGAATTTATAAAACCTGGTTCTAGCGTCTCAGTATGGTGATAAAACACGAATAAAAGATATATGAAATATCTTGTGAAGAAGGGAGGAAAGATCATAAAACTTTAAGATTGTTCATAAAACCTTAAATGCTGATGGAGTAAGAAACTTATTGAAGTAAAGTAACAGCTCTCCTGAGACACTAAACGCAATGATCGTCTGAGGTAAAACTATTAAAAATATCTTTCGAATCCGAAATCCAAAAATGATAATCGGCTAAAAACGGCGAAGGGGCGTAAGGGAGGGTGTTGCGCGGTCGCAGGATCGCGTCGCTTCCTAGGCGGAGCGGAGGCTGGCTGGTGACTCGGTGACCCAGTTTCCCCCGGCGTCCCGACGCTGCACCGCGCGCCGTTCGTTCGGTTCGCGTCGAATTCGTACGCGAGCATGGAACCGAAGCGGCTGGAACCGCGGGCACCCTCGTCGTCGCTCCTCCATCGTATTCGACATCGCCGACGCGTGGTCGTGTCCTTCGGCCGGTGTCGAGCCGCCGCCGCCGCTGCCGTTGCGTCGCGTCGACTCGATCCGTGGTGGCGGTGCCCGCGTCCCGACGCCGTCGTCGTCTTCGTCCGTTCACGATCGTCCTGGCTAGCGACGCTATGCGCCGCGTTCTCTTCGCCAGCTGTTCCAGCCGTCTCGAGGTAGTTGTTCCGTCTCGCCGAGACTTCTCGTTCCTCGATCTCCCCGTTCCCGAAAGAGGATAGTGATTCGTTTCGATAGAGCGAGACTTTCGTAAAGAGAATTTCCGGCCGGATGGAGAATCGTGAAGGAACGCCCCACAGGCTGTGCTGATTATTTGAATCCATGGATTATCGGATGGTAAATCCGCGCAGGACTTTCCGATGTGTTTGAGGATCTCGTATCGGTTTATCGAAATTTTCTTGGGCAGCGTTCAGGTAGTGTTTCCAATTTAAAAACCAATCGTTCCTTCGGTTTATCTAGTTTGTTTTCCTGTGTTCTGTATCTTGATCGACCAGTAGACCCCTTTTCTTTGAACGATCGCACGATCTGCGCCCTGACCGTGGCTCCCAAGGACTAGTTTCTGCCGACTACCCGTTTTATTAATCCCTTTTCAGCTTGGACATTGTTATGGTAATGAGTAATAACGGACTTACCTATATTACGTAGACGTTTGGTTGTCAGTCTGGTATCGGTTTGGCTTACTTACTGAGGTGCGATCACGCTTAATGGACTCGTCCTGCGAGACCGTCCTTGTCACGTTTCCGCCCCATTTGGGTTGTCCTGATTCAAAGATAATCGAATCACGACATGCTGCTAACTTTCTTTACCCATATTCCCGCATGGCCTAATAATTTCTCTAATGGCATTGCTCTCGAGGAATATCTAATGATTCTACTCTGTTCACTCTTCTGGTATTTAATCTATTCTTAATGCAGTTGATCGAAGAAAACTTCCAGTTCATACTTCCTTCTGTTTTTATTCTAACGAGGATATTAATTATTTGAATATACTATGGAAGTAGTTTGCAGTCGACATGCATATGATATATAGTTAAGATAGTTTGATTGATTTCTTATCAATTTGTATCTGCATTGTAAAAATTGATTTTAAATTGTTTCACTATCTCAGGATTACAAAAATAGCGGAATGAAGATAAATTAAATCATAGAACGAGAGATATTTGTCCAAAACTCGCTGTGGTTCTTTTTAATTAAAAATTATCCGATAAAATTTATTTGTCTTTGATATATTTATCTAAAATCTAAACAAATCTTGGAAAGCGGCTTCTAATTTCTTGGTAAATCGTAACGAAAGTTTGAATTTATGCTTCGACATGCATGGCTTCCAATGATTGTTTTTTTAGTATTTTCGAATAAATTTTACGCACGGTCCAGCGTTCAGAGGTGGAAATCGGTGACCTCGTAAGATTTAACTGCGCATCGATCCTCTATCCCTACTCAGCGAAACGGTTTCCAAATTTCACGTTCTGAATATGCTCTATTGCGGCGAAACTGTTTCTTCCGATCCGTTCTTCGTTTGCATTACAGATATTTGACAATTCCAATCGTAATTCTCATTTCTATTTTTAAGAATAATAAGATGAATATTTTGTAGAAAAACATGAATAAAAGTGCATGTTTATGCGTTTTTATTATGTGTGTCATATCCTTGGATGCATAAAATAAGGATAGATATTTATTCATGCGAAAGGACATCGAACTATATGTACATCGGATAAAAATATAAATTTTCATGCATCGTTTATTATCTAGCAAAAAATCGTATATACAGGGGAGGAATATTTACGAGCTACGAATCGTGTCAAGCAATCGATGGAAATATTTATAGCCATAGAATTTAAAGTGCGATCGAGTGAAAAGAAGTAATCTAGACTCACGCGGTCAATTGGTTTCTTTCACGTTCTGGCGAGGTGGATTTTCGAAGGTAGCCAATGGAAGTAGAGGTATTCATAATGTTTGGTTAATGTTGCCAAAAAGTTCATCGACCTACTAACCGGAGGAGAGAGAGAGAGAGAGAAACGACAGCTGTTCAGATATCTCGCGATCGTGTTAAAGCCGTTCGTTTTTCCTCTCCTTTCCATTTTTCACGATTTCCTTTTATACAAAAATCATACATCTCTCATATCTCTTCGTAAGGAATAGAAAATACGCAGGCAATACCAAATTCCATCATACATTTATTAATTTTATTGTAAATTATTAGAAAATGAATTTTGGTGTAACAAAATACAATATCAATCCAATGATTACTGTCTTATGATAAGTGCATTGAAAATTTCAATCAGTAAATAATTATTTATTAAATTATTCTGTGTAATAATTAATTGTAACATGAATTCAAAACGACGTAGCTTTTTTTCTCAACAAATAATTTATTGAAAAATGGAAAGGAGTTGTTCTAAGAAAACGAAATAAAACTATTTGCTTGAATACTTTGAAAGTGGAAGATGGTATCGATAGATAATTTTCAATTGAGGAATCGATGTTAAACGGGTCCAATTAGAGAAATTTACAGAGGAACTCGTGGAGGCGGATCGGGCAGCGAAATCGGGTTTAAAGAAGCGTAAAGCAGGAGGCAGCGCGGAACGATCGTTTCCGAGCGATTGCCAGATCCAGCTGGAGGAGAACAGTGGTCTCGCTCATATAGAGAAGGCCTGATGGTTCGTCTGGACTCTGGATGTTGCCAAAAAATACAATGACCCAAATAAGTTGCGCTCTCCGATAGCCTGTACGGCACTGTGATCTCTCTCTTTCTCAGTTTCGTTCAAGTACACGAACCGCGTGCTTGCGGGAAGATTTCTCGTCCTATACGTTTCGTACACGTGGAAAATTCAGCAATCCAGTCATTTATTTAATCGAAAATATTCTTCTAAATTCTTGAAAGAGAAAGAAACGATTATCGAGTGCATGTAAATCGTTTTTCTGGAACCATGATTTCACGTGCAATACGTGTGCAGTGACTCAAGAAAGTATCGGAATATCTACTGTAGAAAACTTTTTTTTATGTTCGTGTTGTGTGTAGTAGGAAATGCAGCTGGGAACAACGATTATATCGACGAACTTTGGAATGCTTAAACAGAAACGAGTGTTGATGGTAGTTAGAATGAAAATACTTTTACGTATTGTATATTCGTAGGTCAGGGAATCGGAGTAACGCGATGTAAGCTTGTTGGACAAACGAGATAATTGATAGTGCTTATAATTGAAAGCCTGCTCTACCATTTCTCTCAATAGTTAAAGAGGAAGTCCCTTGTACGTATACAATTCAAAGTTCCGCCCGACTTCCGACCTTTCTTTCCCTTTTCGAAACCCGCATATAGGGAAGCAAAATCGGATCGATAAAAGTACAAGACGAATAAACAGCAGGAAAATAATTCTTTAGTTGCATAATGCATTGAAATCGATTTACATAGCAAACTATTCGCATAGATACAGAAATGATGGTTCTTGAAAAAGTTTACACCCACAATCTACTATATCCGATTCTACTATAAATACAGAGAACATTTTGACTGAAATATTTGATATCATATAAACGATTTAATACACGCCTAATACAAGATTAGAAACAGGTTTACGGATATCTTCTATCATTAAACGATAATGGGAAAACACACTTTTTTTCATTGAAGTGTAAATAAATGAAGAAAATAAAGTCGGAACGATTTAAAGTTTACAGTAATGAAACTTCTGACCCGTTTCCGAGGTAACTTCTCTATGAATCTGTTAATTGCTCCCGAGACTCTCGTCATTGAGATGTTAAAAATTTGAGCTACCTGCGTTTTATCTAATTTGAACGTTTTTAGATTTATATCAAATAAGCAACTGTGCACATATACGTCGAAACGTGTATGTTGGAAATTTCTAGATCCAACAACTTTCATACTCTTAAATATTTGAATAGATCCTTGAAAATTGTAGCTAGTAGGAAAAGTCAATAAGTGCGTTTATCACTTGTGGGACAACGATACCACATTCGGGTTATCGATTTAGACCAAATTTGGCATACACTTAGGACACACCCAGAACGATGACTTGGTGGTAAAACGATAACACCACAACCAACAAGGTCGCGGTGTGTGGAGAAAATTTGAACCGAATCTGTGACCCGAATGTCGTGCAGTCCCCTCGTTAGTTAAATTCTCGACGCACGATGAATCATCTCAACCGTCTTCCTTCAATTGCCTTCACAGACAAGCCTCCATATTCTGTTGCTAGCGTTAAACGCAATGCAGCGAAACTCGTTTAAACCGTTGGTACTTACATAATAAGTTTATTCGTATAACTCGGTTTCGTGGTTCTCATTTCTCTGCTGGCAGCAGCACGTATATATTATTTTTGACATTGCAACGAAGAAACGTTTTATCGCAGCGAACTCTGGCACGAATTTCACGTACGCGTAAATTTAGAAAATTCTCTCTCGTGAAAACAAACGTAAACATTTAGCAGTCTTAGTGTTAAATATATAAAATAGAAATGCAGTTATATAGAAACAATTATATTTTAATTATAACGTTGTCGCTGAATCATCAGTGCGTTAAAGTCACAAGTATAATTAATACGATAATTGTTAGAAAATAGTAAAAATTTTTATTGAACGCAGGGATTAGGATGTAATCGAACGGACGATTTCAGTACACCAGTCAGTTCTGGCAGCAACATGGGTAGTATAGCACGGTTTCCAAAGTTGGACGAGTGTGCCCACTTTCATTACGAACATGTTGAACTCAGTTCCTTGGAGGTCAGTCATATTCAAATAACTACATACAGTTTTCCTTCCGTAATTTGAAAATAAAACTTGGACATGATATACGCGTGCGCGTAAAATGATTCTGTTAGTGATATAAAAGTTAATATCGATTTTGCAGGTTTCGCTTAGCGAAGGTACGAACGATTCGGAGAGTTACGCTATCAGGGTAACATCCGGTGACGCGTGCTGGACCCTGCAGCGTTCTTACGACAATTTTGTTATGTTCGACAAACAGTTGCACCGTTGCATATTCGACAGGAAGTTCTCTTCCCTGACCAAACTTCCAGACACGCGGCCAAAAAACACCTGTGATATACTACGGGATTATTTGAATAGGTTCTCCCAGTTGAATCATGAAGGTCTAAACTGCGGACCCGTGCTAAATTGGTTGCAGCTAGATAATAGAGGAAGAAGGATCCTCGTCCCGGAGTCGGACTCCTGCCCCATTAATACTCCTGCAGTAGCTGCGGCTTATGCAGTCAGACCTTATGTGGCTCAGGCACCGGACGAAATCTCCTTCCAGGTATGCGTCTCCACGTAATATCAATAATATGCATAGTCTATCGAGTGGAGCTTGCTTTAAAATAGAAATGTTTTCCATCGATTAAAAATTCTTCAATAAATCATGAGTTAAATTGAATTTCAGGTCGGAGACATGATATCCGTGATAGATATGCCTCCGCCTGGGGAAAGTACATGGTGGCGTGGGAAGCACGGATTCGCAGTCGGTTTTTTCCCAGCCGAATGCGTGGCTGTGATTGGTGACAAAGTGCCACGGCATCTTACCGTGTCGACGACAGTCAGATCGAAATTACCCGTGAAGCCGGTGCTTAGGAAGCACGGGAAACTGATCGCCTTCTTTAGATCGTTTATATTGAACAGACCGTCGAGGAGGCGTTTGAAGCAATCGGGAATTCTGAAGGAACGCGTGTTTGGTTGTGATTTAGGGGAACATCTTTTGAATTCTGGTCAAGATGGTATATATGAATATTTTAATTAATCGTTAGCCTAATACAATGTAGGATACGATTGTTATTATATAATTTCGAATTTAGTGCAATAACGATGTATGACATTTGCAGTGCCTACTGTTTTAACATGCTGCGCCGAGTTCATCGAGAATCACGGCTTGGTCGACGGTATATATCGTCTAAGCGGTGTAACATCGAATATACAAAGACTGCGGAACGCGTTCGATGAGGATCGTGTCCCTGCGTTGCATTCCGATGAAAGTATCTTACAAGATATTCATTCGGTGGCGTCGTTGTTGAAAATGTACTTCAGAGAATTACCGAACCCGCTCTGTACATACCAACTCTACTCTACTTTCGTGAACGCGGTTCAAGCGAGCACTGACGCTGAAAGGCTAAGACGCATGAGGGATACCGTTAGAAAATTACCACCGCCGCATTACAGGTAGCTTGAGAAAAAACTGTAACCTTTTCTTCTTCGGAGATATTGTCCTTCAAAATAATAACGTTGAAACGACTCACGTTTTCAGAACGTTAGAATATCTCATGCGTCATTTAGTGCGAGTCGCAGCTCGAGGTGCGGAGACCGGCATGACACCGCGGAATGTCGCGATCGTTTGGGCACCGAATCTCCTGAGATGCAAGGAATTGGAAGTCGGTGGCGTGGCAGCTTTGCAGGGCGTTGGCGTACAGGCCGTGGTCACAGAATTCTTGGTCTGTTACGCGGAATTAATCTTCGGGGACGGTCCGGTCGGAAGGCCGAAATCGTTGGCTATTACAACACCGGCGAGATTGCTCAGTTTGGAGGAGGCTCGAAACCGAAGCCTGAGAGGCGAGCCAGATTACGTGGAAGTGGGCGCCGGTCCAGCTGGGTTACCGTTGCATTACCATACGGTCATAGAATTACCGCGAAAGAGAAACGGCTCGAAACGTTCACCCTCGTTGAACTGGAGAGCTTTGTTCGGGCGAGGTGGTTTAGGTGCCAGAGGAAAAACGAGACAAGTTGGCACGCCACCTCAAACAGAAACGGTGCCAAGTTCCTTACGACGGCTGAGACCAGTGAAAAGCGCGGACAGCTTGGACGGCGAAGATAGTTTAGGCCCTCTCCTGGGACCGCCGCCGGCCAGGCCCGGACACAGTCGGTCAGTCTCGCATGATTCGTATTTTGATCATCTGGCGGACGCACCGAATACCGCGTCGCCGTTGGATCTCTCGGAGATACAACTTAACTTCGATCTGGAGGAACGAGAGATGCGAATGTTCTCGGAGGAAGAGAGCGGTGGCGTTGCTTCAGTGGAAGCTTCCCCGCGAAGACAGAGAACGGAAGGGACCCAGAACGCTGCTGCCACCGGCGGCTCCAAGAGGAAAAGATCGCGATTAGAAGAAAGACTGCACTGCGACGTTGAGTTGCGCTTTATTGATAGCCAAAGTCCTGATCAGGTAAATATTACTGTAATCTAAAATGCCTAAGCACAAATATTCGTGCATAAAATTTTTAATTAATATATCTGTATTTGCAGGTGATGGTATCCGCAGATGTTCATAGTATGGACACCCCGTCCCCTCTGCCTACACCGGGGTACCTTCCATTGTTATCCGAAGCTTCGACTCCACTGACACCTGCTACGTTACATGGAACACCGCATTCTATATCACCTGTACCAGCTAACAGCCCTAGAATAAGCTTCCGAAGTTTCACCTTACCTTTAGAGATCGATGACGAACAGAGTAACGCGAACAAACTGAACAGAACTAGCGTGTCTTCCGATAAATCATCCGACCCTAGTCATAGGTTATCCGTAAACTTAGAACGGCAGAGTAGCGCCAAATCCTGCGAGAGGATAATGACTTACGACGACAAAGAGTCTTCCAAGGCTCAGGCGCCTTCGAAGGAGTCGGACCTAGTTGTAACGGACGTAGTCGACCAAGAGATGACGCCTTGCGACAGGCTGATGTCTCACCCTAGCGAGATAGACACTACTAGTAAAATAACGTCCCCGTGCAAAGATGCGTGTAGCAGACCAAGTTCTTCGTACTCCGAAAATAAATCGCACAGCGATAACAGAGACACGTTGGACGTACGGAAACACGACGCGTCGACGAACAAATCGCAGAACGACAACGCCACTGCAAGCAATTCGAACGCACACAGAAATGATTTAGGACTGCCATTATCCAGTGCGACCGATCTTGATTCTCCGATGTCATGCGAACAGACCATCGAGGATTTACCCGATTCCGGTTTCGTGATTTGCGACAGCTCCGACAAGATGTATACCAACACGGAAACGTCGCAAATGGTGTCGAACACTAATGATTCTGGCGAATGGGTTATAGTCGAGACAACCGGCTCGATCACGACGCCTACGAGCGAATCGAGCAGTTCGAAGGATCCGTTGGAAGGCACCGTGAATAACGCGATTGCGACGGACGCGCCGCGATTAAGATCCATGTCGGAGAACGTGTCCAGAACCTCATTGGATCTCACCATGGGCTCGACCGTCGACACGGATACGTCCTGTATCGGTGTCAGTGATTTGACCGAGAGTCCTGTACTGCCTCAAGAGTCTGCGGAGATGACGTTCGACGACACCAGGGAGCTCGAGGAACGCGATACTACTGGTCAAAGAACTTCCGGTGTGTTCGACGATGAAACCGGTTTCGGGGTAGTTGATCCTGGCAACAATTTCTCAAATATCGTGCAGTCGAACTTACACGATCAAGATAATGGTAACCAGAAGATGTGCACCGTCAGCATGACTGATATTCGTCTGAACCAGAAACCTGCTGGGATGGATCACGAAGTGACCACTTGTTACACACAACTGGATAACACCAAGGCTTTCAATAGGAATGAGAATTCAGCGAAGGAAGTCGTGGAAGTAGAAGCGTTCGAAACCTCCCAAAGTCCTTCGAGGAACCTCGACTTCCAGCGTCAGGATGTTCGACGTTCTTTGCAGCTGCATCAGAACTCACAGTTCCAAGCAGGCGATCGTCGTTCGTTTTCTGGTCAGTCGAAAAAGGATCTCGACTTATCATTGGTCAATACGGAAAACAGTAAGCATCGGTGTCAGAGCCAGAAGTCGGAAAAGTGCCAAAGTTTTGAGTACTTGCCGAAGGAATCCGCCTCGAGCAAACAGTTTCTAACACGCGTTGATGAACCTGCCAAATGTAACAACGTGAACAACAGTCAACTGCAAGAGAACATCGAAGTGGTAATACCATCGGAGAACGCGACTGAGCCTAATGAAATAGCCCATCCTCCAGAAGGAGCGTCTGAAACGACGTCTCTCAACTCATCTTGTACGTTTTCGAACGCTTCTTCGCCGGTAGACGATTCCATTGTGCTCCGAGACACGGCTGCTATACTCCAAGAGTTGGCGTTGCAAAGATTGTCCGGAGGTATTGTCGGTGATTTGTCTGCACCTCCCAGAAGAAGGTACGAAACCGAGAGCATTAAGGATCGAAGAAGCTTCGATTCGGAAATTGGCAGGGAAATAGTCCGTGAAAGGAAGATGAGACAAGAACTGGACACCGCTCGAGGGAAGTCAGAGGAGCCACCGGTGAACAGTGGCCAACATTTGCCACCGTGTTTGAGGGCTCGTCACGCGAGGACCACGCGAGCGTCCCTCAGTCGATCTCTGGATGAGGCAAAGTTTAATAAAATGACAGTGGAAGCGTCTCTGCCTGTGAAACAGTCTTCGGAAGACTCGCAGCACAGTTCGACGCCGAATGTCGGCGCCTCGAGTAACGCCTCAGGCAATTCCGATAAGTTACATTTCAAGAATCTTGGGGGTTTGGACCTGGGCGATCCGCAGTGCAGGGAGAGGATAGAAAAGTACAAAGAGGAGAGGAGAACGTTTTTGAGGGACAAGTATAGATCGGAAAGCTTCCGCGGAATGTTATCGAAGGCAGAAGACGATGGAGAACAGGCGCTTCTAGCTAGATTAAAGCAGAGAGCTTCTAGGCCTTCCCTTCATTGATATTAAACTAATTTTTCCTGGGCGCGCTCTGCTGATCCTTTTCCTTCACGTGTTGTATAAACGCCCCTGCCACTACGACGAACTTATGGTATCGATGATCGAAAGTTGAATTATTGTAAGTGCAACAGTCTCTTGTAAGATAAACCAAGTATTTTGAGAAACGAGATTTATTTTTAAAGTTTACTTTATATTAGTAAAAGAATATAGTTTCTTTGCAAAAATATTTTATTTATAATTCGTTATTAAAGTTATATATTGTTGAGGAATATTTCTGATACTCATTTGAAAAATTAAGATTTGCATTTAATACTGGTTTCACAATGAAACTATAGTTATATTTTATTTTGAATCGAATGGCACTTAAAATAAATTAGCTTTCAATCATTAATATATGTATTCCAGTGAGCTGCTCGTTGTATCGAATACTGCGTTTAACCCTTTGCTCTCAACAACGTTTCATCGAGATTATACGAGGTATGTTTGTTACTTTTCTTTCTTTTGATTATTTTATCTGGGATAAACTGTTGTTTCGTTTATATGATATAATTGTTCTTTGTGAGAAGCTGAATCTTAATGTGAGATGATAGAAGATCGATTAAAATGTAGTTTTAAGCGTGAAATGCATTGGAGCGAAAGTTGAATATTAATGAACGCATGCACGATTCGTTGCAAGGTGCAACGCACCGCGATAACTATTCGAAGTTTTACCTGTTTTCCACCTTTTTTAAAGTATTATCGTAACTATTTACTAGCGACTTGGAATTTGTTTAAGGACGTATTGGCTATACAGTCAATCCCAAAAATTGATGTACCTTAGAAAAACGCATTTCCTATAATTAAAAGGAAATCAGACGTCGGAAGAACAATGCTAATAATAAATAGCTACGTGCTAAAAAGTATAGAAGGAAATATCCAATTAATTATTGACGCTGGCGAAAATTTTTTTGTACAGAAGTTGTAGTCACTGATAGCCTCTACAAAAAAAGATTCTATGCATTTTTCTTCTAATTTCGATATTTAACGAGTTACGTATAATTATTTAGCATTTTATGGGCACTGACTAAATCCACCCATTCCAGCGTCGAAACGGCGAACTTTTGGCAAAAAATTTCGTTTTTCCTTAATTACTCCTAAACCGTTGAATCTACGGGAAAATTGTATACGACCTTTCTTGTAGAG